GATATATCCAAAATATTATTATTATACTATTGTCTGCAATTTTTTCTTTCTGCATTTTTCTATCCGCATTTTTCCATCCGTATCCGCATCCGTCATCCGCAGGTATCCGGTCCGCGTTTTACAGACACCCGTGTCAAGAGGTGTAGACTACAATAACAACATTTATCTACTTAAAAACAAAAACACCCGTAGAACATGATATCGATCCGGCTTACCCCAATTCTATTGATTTGGAGTCAACAAATAGGTCGTATTTAAGACTATGAAAGGTTAGAGACAAATATTAGTCTGTAATCCAGAAATCGATTGATGCGAATTGCTTCCTCGCCTCATTCTTCTCGCGCGCCGGCGGTTCTGCCGCCAAAATTTCCCATGAGATCCGGACTCGTCCTCAGTCTTCTCTTATCATTTGTAAGCGGTCACGAGAGAATAGAGACCTTTAACATCAGGTTTTTCTTGGGAAACCGCAAACCTGAGAATGTCATGTGACCACCGTCTTGCTGTCGCGTTTGCCCTTTTGAGTTCACGTTTTAACGGTAGGAGGGGCTTTCAGCGGTAAGCGACTTACGGCAAGGTTTTTTTTGGCCTCTAAAAATTGTACAGCCTCACGTTTAAAGGCACGAATCAGCTTTCTATATCCACCTGTGATGTGCAAATGCAACATGACGGCACTAAACAATGAACGCCTTGCTGAAATTTGAAATCCCGGGAACGTGAAACTGCAAGCTGAAAAACCTGATGGTAAAGGTTTCTAATATTACGGCATCTCTCCAGCGCTTCGACTAATTTAAAAATTAACAGGAGACTGAGAGACGACTGGGTTCAAGTCAGCCTGAGAACCCCCAATGCAAAGTCATATGATGGCAAGAAATATTAAATTGGAAAACATTTGGCTATTTCTCTCCACACTTTCGTTGGGTAATTCATCGACCAGTAAAAATAACAATACGAAATGGATCCGAGAAGAGCTACATGTATTTTTTACCCCTTCATCCCGGGGTTCTTTTAACAGGCGTATCTCATGCTCGCCTCCCACCAATGTGCCCCGCGGTTTCGAATCCTGGCATTGACGCCATATGTTGGTTGAGTTTGTTGTTGGTTTTCTCCCTTGCTCCGAGAGGTTTTTCTCCGGGTACTTCGATTCGGTTTCCCCTCTCCTCAAAACCAACACTTTCAATTCCAATTCGATCTGGAACGCCCGGACACGTTTCCACGAGTTCTTAAGAAATCCTAAGTGCTCCGTGGAAGCAGGAGATTTATGCTACAAGAAAGATCAGCCCAATTTCGTTATCCACTGGAAAGAGATTTACCCAGTGGATAGCGCTATCCATCGATTGAGCAACTGCTGCCTGGTTTTTAAATGCTTTACATTTTTTTCGAAGAAACCACTTTCCGGAATCGCGGCCAGAGTTTGGATGTTATAGCCCGCAGGCGTGACCAACGCCGGTATATAGTCCCGGCTTATCTCTGAGTTTTATCTAGGTTTTGAGTTCTGCATCGCAGGGTGTAGATTTACGATACATTTTTTTCAGTCTGTGTAAAAGGACATAAATTTCTGTTTTTAGACACCCCTTATGTGCCTTGCAATAAAGAATACAACAGAAAGAGTTTTTCTTGGACATTTCAGTAGTAATTTTTTTCAGGACGTTGTCTATAATTATATAAATGGTATATTTTGTAAGAAATCGCAATTGACATTGACATTTGACATGTGAGAAAGAAAGCTAACATGCCTCACTAGACTTCTTTTTTTAAGTAGTTGAAGAATCTAGTTGTTACATTTATAACAATGTCACATCTCCCTTTAATAAAAAGTTGCTACAATTTGCGTTTAAAACTTGTTTCATTTCTCGGTAAGGTTACATTTTGCGCCATACATTAAACCTCGTCTCTTCGTACCTCCCCAACTAAAGATTAGTCCGAAAAATTGTTCTTTGTATGTGATGAATATGTTAAAAGTCATGCATGGGAAAAAATAAAATAGGGGCAGGGACAAAAGTCAGTTTACAGAGGGTGGAACTCGTGTCTACCAGCAAATCTAACAGCTTCGAAAGCTGAAACGTTTTCAAAAAGCGGGTATACAAAGAGGAAACACCTCTTGAAAAAGAGTACTAGCTCGCAAAAGGCTCATTAACGAAAAGAAATATAGAATACTTCATGAAAAGTACGAGCGTGTGGTATTTACGCACTAGTTGTTGACGTATCAGAAATCGAGCGAGTGAGGTACAAAAACACATTTCGTGCTTACGTTTTTTTTTTATTTTAACTCCCTAAACTCCCCTTTCCTGGGTTCTGAATCATTCAGACAGGATATTGGCCAGTTCCATTCCTCACGCGCGGATGAAACCTTTGCAAATCGGTGGATTATTTTATCAACGTCAATTTCGATATTGCAGTGGATATGGTGCAAGGCGAGTCCAAACCATTTACCAGATTTCAACTTGGAAAATTTTTTGCTAATATTAGAAAATATATTTATTATGAAAAAACTGAGCGATTTCCGTAAATTTGTGGAAACCGGTGTGGATCCGCGCCTGAGGTAATATAGGATTACACTATTACTCACAATTGCTTGCGGAAAATAAATGAATTTGAGTTAAGTGGCTGGTTTGAATTGGCTCAGGTGAAAAATAGCTTCTATTAAAAGTACAACTCAAGCCTGCTGTTTTTTTCTCCCTTTCTACTCTTGTTTTACAAGCTCCTTACAGTTCTCTTCAGAGGCAATGAAATGATACCAAGCTATACTATTCCAGTTACCTACTATTCAGTGTTCACTTTTCTACGAGAAAAACAGTCCTTTATGGACTCAACAAATTTCCTTTTTGAATGACTAGAAGCAACTCGCGAAGCAAGGATGCTGCAAGCAGCCATAAAAGGCCGGAAAATTAGCGCGAAACGCATGACCTGCTGCCGAGGTTAGAGTAGTAATTCTCCTAGGCATGCCTCATGATAAGGAAACCTAGATAAGTTCCGGCCGTTTGGGCCTTTGGCTCGTGTGCGCCTTTACTTTTTGACCTTTTTTAACGCGAGCGTACGAGTTGGCTCTCGAAAGGTAAAAATCGTAGAGAATTTCTATTATAAAAGCACTTGCAACAGAAACAGCCTAATCCTATCCTAGTATGCATTAAATCATAGATAAGAAGAGATGTCAAATGTCATACAAAGAGACAAGTATTTAAAATGAATAAAAATAAATAACGAGGAAGAGTTAACACATCCACAAAGTGGTTTTTAGAATTTAGAAACGTTGGTTTTTCAGGAGAGCGGAAAACCGGAGTACCCGGAGACAAACCTCTCGTCAACACCCACATATAGCGTCGACGCCGGGATATGAACCAGGGCCACATTGGTGGGAGGCGAGTGCTCTCACCGCTGCACCATCCTAACTTCTTAAAGTACTCTGGATAGCCTAAAAAGTGTTTTCAATGTATTTAGGAGGAAACCGTCGTTGGGTGCCCCTGATTATGATCTGTGTGAGTGAACCAGTTGCTAACCAAAGCCGATTAATGCGAACACACATTGATGAAGGAGTCTGAAGATTCCAGACTCCTTTCCTTATCATAGAACCACTGTGACCAACACCAACTCCTCTGACCTAGAAGAAGAAAGAGAAATCCAAGCTGCCACAAACTCATTTGTTACCCGACTACCAAAATTAAAAATGTACAATGGCGCTGTACTCCCGTCCCTACTCAATGCAACTGAATGGTCATCAAGAAGCTGACAAGTCCACTATTACATTATCTACTAAATTCTCGGCATAGATAGCAGGATGGAATTCATGATGTAGAAGTGCTGACTGACTCTTGACTCTGTTACTATAGTATGGAAACTCCCATTACCGCATATCACCTCTTCCCAGCTTCGCGGGGGAGGAAATGTCAACGGAATAAGTAACTTAAGTCCTCCAAGAGCAGTATTTTATGGTAATCTGTGTCGGGAAAGAGAACTCTTGACGGCCAGCCGAGAAACTGCCTTTTTTAGATATGTTCAATGACACATGGAAAAGTACATTCGGCCAAGTGGCTTCGCGCCGTGAAGAAGTCAATCTGATTGCAGCAATTGAGAGGAAGCGACGGAAGAATTGTTAAACAGTAAACGAAAGGAGATTGCTCAACAGTCTACATAAACGACATATGTGCACATTGCCATTGTTTCTCACAGCTAACGGCCCAATACAGTAAAATAATCATCAGAGACGATGGACACCCAATACACTTTGCTGATGTGAATGTAATTGCAATGCTGACTTCAGTTGGCAGTGTTAATTAACCAATAATCTGGAAAATGTTTGCAGAGCAGTTAAAATTGATCGTCTGTCAAAATGCTTTGACAGTCAACTATTGCGTGAGAGCAAGGAGAGACCTCTGCCGGCCCTCCGACGCGTTTCCTATCGCAGATGCTGTAGCGTTTCCTTAAAAAGCAGCAACGTTTTAGTCACGTGAGACACAGCTTACGTTGTGGATTCAGAAATTTCCAGCGTTTCCAGCATCTCAACAGGGCATGCGCATTCCGCATTAAACGAGACCGGGTTTAAAAACTAGTGAAATCTCGTCAGCGGCTTAGTAAAAGAACGGGTGGAGGCCGGCAGAGGTCTCCCTGTCTTTGCTGTCATTTTTCTCTCGCCGTGAGAGACCTCTGCTTGCTGGGAGAGAAAGAGGACGTTGATATTAATTATTAATTCTGTCTATAGTTCATAGTGTAATGTACTCCTATTTACGTATTTACATATTAATGAATTGAATTTTTATTTTTGGATATTGTTTTGTCCTTTGTATTAAGGTTTGAAATGTGCTGTTTTGAACGCAATCTATTAAGCAGCTTGCTTAACTTGATCAGCCTTAACTGTTTTGAGCTATTTGCGGTTTCCAACTTCTGTCACCTTAGTTGAAAAGAAATGAGATAAATCGTTGTTGTTATTATTAATGTTCAACTCTTGTTATAATGTTGATTTTAATTTTTTGTTCTTTACTTTTCTTATGAAAACCTTTACAGCAAAAATGCAAGATCTACGTGGAGCGAACAGGCAATCGCCGTTAGCAGCTGGTGAACGTCAGGGACAAAACTTACAAAGGCGACCGAGGGAGATACAGCAACGCGACGACAACTCACAAAGGAAGTTGACAGAGATGCCACGACAGCAGGAAAACTTGCAAAGGCAGTTACAGGAAATGCAGCAACGCGAGGAAAATTCCGAAAGGCAGTTGAGAGAGATGCAGCAACGCCAGGAAAATTCGCGAAGGCAGTTGAGAGAGACGCAGCAACGCGAAGAAAATTCACAAAGGCAGTTGACGGAGACGCAACGACAGCGGGAAAACTTGCAAAGGCAGTTACAGGAAATGCAGCAACGCGAAGAAAATTCACAAAGGCAGTTGACGGAGACGCAACGACAGCGGGAAAACTTGCAAAGGCAGTTACAGGAAATGCAGCAACGCGAAGAAAACTCGCAAAGGCAGTTGACAGAGATGCAGCAACGCGAAGAAAATTCGCAAAGGCAGTTGAGAGAAATGCATCAACGATTAGAGAACTCCCAGCAACAGGTGTCCACCTTAGAAAGACAACTTAGAGGCAAAGATCAGGAAGTAAATGAACTAGAGTTAAGTCTTTCATTAGCCCAGCAAACGATAAGTGAACAACGACGACAGGAAACATGCGACTGGGTCATTTCCCGCAATGAAATTCATATGACAGAGAATTGCCTAGGGAGGGGAGGTTGGGGAAGTGTCAATGAAGGTACCTACTGTGGCTGTACTGTAGCAGTGAAGCAAATCCATGACCTGATTCTGTCTCCTCACAACAGGCTTTTATTTGAAAGAGAAATGAATATTGCTTCAGCTTGCCGCCATCCCTGTTTGCTGCAGTTTATTGGCGCCACAAATGACGAGGGAACTCCTCTGTTTGTGACCGAGCTCATGGAGATGAGCCTGCGAGCTTTATTGGCACAGCGGCAACTTTCCGAAACAGAAATAACTGTAATTTCTTTGGATGTAGCTCGTGCGCTGAACTACCTTCATCAGAAGAAACCACATCCCATCATTCACCGGGACGTCAGCAGTGCCAATGTGTTGCTATGGCGACAAGGTGATCAATGGAGAGGCAAAGTGTCAGATTATGGCACGGCTAATTTCATGCAGCAGACCATGACAGTGGCTCCTGGAGCTATGATTTATAGCTCACCTGAAGCATTAACACCAAACCAAACAGTGAAGGTTGGTTATTACTGGTTTTAGCGCCCAGCTTTCAGTTTTATAAGCATATAACACAGTGTGTGCGAGCGTGACCTGCGGAGTTTGAGCGAGTCTATTGGACCCAAGCTTGCTAGCCAGATTTATTCTAATAATGGTCCATCACACCTACATTACCTTGAGGGAACTGACAAACGTTTTGAGTTAAAATGTACTGATCCTTCTAGAGTGTTCTCGCTTTTGTCTAAGCTTTGTAAATCGAAAGCCACAGGCCTAGATATGATATCTGCGCGACTTCTTAGGGAATGCGCCGATCTGATTGCTGATCCTATGTGTTCTATTTTTAATCAGTCCATCAGATCAGGTATTTTCCCTCAGGAATGGAAATGCGCAAAAGTTATTCCACTTTTCAAAGAGGGAAATCACTCCGACTTAAACAATTATCGCCCAATTTCTATCGTCCCTACAGTAGCTAAGGTGTTTGAGCGTATCATCTACGACCAGGTTTACGGTTATCTTACTGAAAACAATTTGATTTCCAGCCAACAATCTGGTTTTCGTTCGCTCCACTCAACTGTTACTGCCTTGTTGAAGGCCATTAACGATTGGGCCTTCAACATTGATAAAGGCAGTGTAAATGCAGTAGTTTTCCTCGACCTAAAAAAAGCTTTCGATACCGTTGACCATACAATTCTTCTGTCTAAATTATTCGAATATGGTATCCGCGGTAACGCTTATGAATGGTTTAGGTCATACCTAGATAATCGCAATCAACAGTGTTTCGTAAATGGTTCGCTCTCAAATAGTCAAATTCTCACTTGTGGCATTCCGCAAGGAACAATTCTAGGACCTTTGCTTTTTATTTTATACATAAATGATCTTCCTAATTGCCTGTCTAATTCAGTTGCACGTATGTATGCCGACGATACTCACCTGACCTTTGCCAGTAACAACATAGAAACGATCAATGATGTTATGAATCTCGACCTATCCAATGTTAATACATGGCTCACTGCAAACAAATTGACTCTCAATTCATCTAAAACTGAGTTCATGTTAATTGGATCGCGGCAAAGGTTAGGTACTTACGATACTTCCCCTAAACTAATCATAGGTGGTGACATAATTAAACAAGTTAGCTCGGTTAAATCTCTGGGTGTGCATATAGACGAAAACCTTTCATGGAATATGCACATTGAAAAAATAGCCAAGAAAATCGCATCGGGCTTTGGAGCAATTAAACGTTGTAGGCCTTTTGTTAATCGAACCACGCTGGAGTCCGTTTTCAATGCCTTAGTTCAACCGTACTTTAATTACTGCAGCGAGGTCTGGGGGCATTGTAACAAACGTCTTTCGAATAAGCTCCAAAAGTTGCAAAACCGGGCTGCCCGTATTCTAACCTTCTCCAGTTATGACACAAACGCTGATCCTCTTCTTGAGCAACTCAACTGGAAACGGTTGGATACTCAGCGACAAATACAAGTGGCCACCATGGTCTATAAATCTATACATGGTCTTGCGCCCGACTATCTTGGTTCTCTTTTCACTAAATATAATCCACCTTATAATTTAAGGAACTCTGAAAACAAACTAGCTGTTCCATTGCCCCGCACCAATTTCTTGAAAAATAGCTTTAGCTATAATGGTGCGGTTATCTGGAACAGCTTGTCCCCTGAATTGCGGCAAGCAAAATCACTTAAAACTTTTCGAAATGGTTGTCGCGATTTCTTTGACTGAATCGATAAAACGCACACGGCATCTATGTAAAGCAGAATTTCTTTATTTACTCTATTTTTACTATTTAAATTTTTAGATCATGTTTATATAGATTAAAGTAGATTGTAATTTTTCTTCTTATTATTATTTTATCTGATAGATTTACCGTGTTTAAATAAAAATAAAGTTCAAGTTCAAGAACGTTTTTGAGGTGGGATGTCACTGAGTCATTCAGAAAGTACTTTATGTTTAGAAGGTTCTTCAGTTGAAATCGTCTCTTAGCATCAGAGCAAGAAAGGTGGATCAAAATGTAGATTTCTCAAACGTAAACTCAATTTTCCCTCCTAATGTTTTTAGGTTGACGTTTATAGCTATGCTGTTTTATTGTGCGAAATGTGCATTCGGGAACTCCCAAATCCTGAAAAGCGTGACGAGCAAGTTTTGTTGATGACGAAGCGCGTGTTAAGAGGCCTGGTACGGCGATGCCTGCAGACAGATCCTGAAGCGAGGCCAACCATGCAGGAGATAATCGATGAATTATCCGGAGCTGTGTAACGTCCATTAAATATGTCGTGAAAATGTTTGTTGTTAATAGAATCAGTGAATTGTTAAAAATGTTTATTGCGGGAAATTGTGTCCAATCCTTTCTCGTGACAAAGTAGCTTACAAAAGTTTTACTAGAAAAACAATTACTCGGGTTAAAAACAAACAACTTATTGGACATAGCAAGGTTTTCTCTGTAACATTTTAGTAATGATACCCAAAAGCCATACGGCTGTATATACAATACAATACAGTACAATAATTTATTTCACTACGTTATCGTCTAAGAGTAACAAGTGCTCGTTCAAAATACGAACGTGCAGTATATATTTTTCGTATTCACCATCGTAGTTAATAGCAAATGATCTTTTTCGAGTAGCGTTGTTAAAAACAAGTTAATTAGGTCTGGGAGAAAATCGTAGAGACGCTAGTCTATGTCCTAAGCTTGCTTTCTATTTGATGGTTTTGTTGCAAAAAAGAAAAAATAGATACCTTTGTTTTTCCATATGCAATAGATTACGTTACTTGCAAGAAATATTTTGACAGTAATTCAGATATTACTTCCTTCTGAAGAAGTTCATACACATGAGGTAGACAATATGTTTTTAGAATTGAAGATACGAGTAGATATGGCGTTTATTACAAGTAGTCAGTGGAACACACAATTAAATACGCGTAGTAGGTACTAAAATTAGACTGGAGTAGACGTGAGTTCCCTATGCCGGTAATAGGGAACTTATTCATAAACAGGGTTTACTTCATTTTCTATGTACTTCCTTATATGACGTCGGTTGTAGACGTAAAATTGACGGAAGATACCGGCAGATATGTCGCCTATATAAAATTCAGTTTAGGATATACCGTTGAATCCGTCGCGTAGTAAAGCCCATTAGGTAACCTACCTGTAAAACATAATTTACTTAAATTTGCACAGTTGTAGTTATCTGCTTATGAAGTAGACAATGTTGAAATAGACAATATCGAGAAAAGAAACAATTATTATATCAGTATATGGCTTATGAAACGTTTTACGATATACGATTAAATCGGCGGAGTAGCTAGCACATTAAGCGATTATAATTAGAGTCTCCTATCCAATAGGTAACTTACTTGTAGGAGAGGAATATACCATAATTCATAAGTTACTTACTTATGAAGTAGGTCATGGAAATGAAATAGACAATATTAAATTGACAATATTGAGTGAAGACACAAGTATGAATATGGCTCATGAAATGTTAAGGATATACACTGTAAGATTAAACCTGCATACATATACACGTGGATGCTCGCGCATAGGACGAAATTTACCATCACGTGGTCTGAAATGGGAAAACAAAACATACAAGCTAAAAAGGTCTATTGTGATCATTAGTTGTAACATCCATCAGGACCAATCGTATCTTGCATTGTAACTTCAAATCATAAGTGTTTCACTTGTTTCTGAACTAATCAGTGATCGAGAATCGATCGAAACATGCCGTGCTCTCTAAAATCAGTCAGGTAGTTGTTCGTTTTGTACGGATTCGTATCCCAAATCCTTAACAATATTTAAA